CCTGGAAGACTTCACTATCTGGCAATCTAGCAACGAGGGCTACACTTGGCACCAAATCCAACCTGGAGAACGCTTCGTCGCTTTCTACCACCACACTTACAGCCACGATCGCGCATACCTCATCACCGCGAAAAACTACTTCTACTATACCACCGACACGGGACGGACATGGCTGCATATGCCCGCGCCGTTGCCGCCCAACAACCTCGGACTACAAATTCTGCACTTCCACCCGACCAACTCGGACAACCTGATCTGGAGCGGGAGCAGTGATTGCGGGGGCTTTGGCGAGAACTGCCACGTCGAAGCGTTCTACACGCGCGACAACGGGCGACATTGGACGTCCATCGAGAAGTACGTGCGGAACTGTGCCTGGGCGCGGGACGCGGAGCTGCTTGTCGATCCGAACCAGATCATCTGCGAGGTGTACCAGAACCAGCGTGGCAATCAGCGGTTCTTCGGGCTGGAAAACCCGCTGCAGCTGATTAGCGGCGCGGACTTCTTCAGGAAGAAGACGAAGCTGTTTGACCACGTTGTTGGGTTTACCAAATTCAACGAGTTCTTGATCGTGGCGGAGGTAGGAGAGCGTGCAGGATATCTTCGGTGTTTCATTACCGTCGTGCTGACGTACAACTCTTTTACAGTACCAGGCGCAACAACAGAGCCTCGACCTGCAGGTGTCGCTCGACGGACGTTCCTTCGCCAGCGGCGCGTTCCCTCCTAACCTGCGACCAGACCAACATGTATGTCAGACAATTTTGTCTACAATCGCTTGTTCTCACTTCGCTTCAGGCGTACACCATCCTCGAGTCAAGCACGATGTCTGTCTTCCTGCACGTCACCACGTCGGAGAGACCGCGGCCATACTGGGGAAGCATCTTGAAATCCAACTCGAACGGGACATACTACAGTATTTCGCTGGAGAACGTGAACCGTAACGACGCGGGATATGTCGATTTCGAGAAGATGATCGGTCTTGATGGGATCGCCCTGGTCAATGTTGTATCAAATCCTCAGGAAGCAACTCTCACGGGTCGTAAGGAACTGGAGACGCGTATCACCCATAACGATGGTAACTTGTGCTCGAGTCTAATCTCTGGCGAGGTACAGAGCAATGCTGATGACCAACTCGTGTAGGCGGCACTTGGAAGCGTCTGGTGCCTCCCGTCAAGGACTCCTTGGGCAACTACTACGACTGCGATAGCACCGTGAGTATTGATTGCATATCATGACCTACAAGACTGATCGTTGTCGTTTTCAGCGTTGCGCGCTACACATACATGGGTACACGGAACGCTATGACGCGCGTGCGACCTATAGCACGCCATCCGTGCCAGGTCTATTGATGGCTGTGGGCAATGTCGGCGAAGCCCTTGAAGACTATACGGAGAGCGACACCTTCTTGAGTCGCGATGCTGGCTTCACCTGGGAAGAAGTCCACAAGGACGCACATACCTGGGAGTTCGGCGACTCGGGATCCATTCTGATCATGGCCAACGATGAGGAGCCGACAGACCACGTGCTCTTCAGTACCGACGAAGGCCTGAACTGGCGCGAGTACAAGTTCACTGATGAGAGAATACGAGTGAAGGAGATCGTCACTGTCCCCAGCGACACGAGTCGTCGCTTCATCCTCATGGGATACTACCCTCGGTCACCTGCTACCCACGTTGCTGCACACATCGACTTCTCTGCCCTGACGTGGAAAGAATGTGGGAATCAATGTTCTTTTCTGGACGCTGCAGACTTACTGTCCATTTCTATCAGGTGTCTTCAGCGAGGATAATCCCGGTTCTGATGACTTTGAGCTCTGGAGCCCGAGCGAGGAGAGGAACGAGCTGTGTCTGTTCGGCCGGCAAGTAAGCGCAAATCAATTTTCTGTGCGATTGCACATCTCATCGTACAATCTCTAGACAATGTATCATCGCCGTGTGCGGGAGGCCAACTGCATCGTAGGTAAACGCCCGAAGGTCGAAGCCAAGTTCGTCAAGAACTGCGCTTGCTCAGATTCCGACTTTGAGTGGTACGTTTGCCATCATGTCACAAGGCTACTGATAGAACTGCTGACGACTCGCTCCACAGTGAGTTCAACTACTACAGGGCCGGCAACGGTAGCTGTGTACTTGTCCCGGGTACGCAGCCGCGTCCTGATGACGACTCATGTCACAATGACGAGGATTACTGGTATGCGCGTACCGCATACCGCAAGATCCCATATTCCAGCTGCGAGGGCGGGCAGCGTATTGACCACGGGGCGGCACACCTATGCCCTGGGATCAGGGCACATGGCACATTCTTCTGGCTCATGATGTTCTTCATCCCTTGCGCATTCGCTGCACTTGCTGGCTGGTGGTATGTCCGCAAGCGCTCAAGAGGGTAGGTGGCTTATGCTCAGTGCTTTTGACTTGAAACTCATCCGCGTCGCAGCGCAATCCGACTGCCTGGTGGCGATGCCGGACCACGGTACAGAGGCGACTCAGGCATGCTGGAGACTATCGCGTCTGTGCCATACTACGCGCTGGCTGTGGCGGGCGCTGTTTGGGAGGCGGTCGTGGGGCGATTCGCGGATGCGACAACAAATATGCGAACGCGGGGTGGGTATCGCACGGTACCCATTGACGAGGACGCGCAGATCTTGAGGTTTGAGGACGAGGAGTAGGATAGGGGGGAGTTGCTGATAGCCATGTTGTTGTCTCATAGAGGTCCAGTGTAGTACATGTCGCTTTCGCTATCCATCGCCACCCATCTATGTATCATATTTATCTCATCTAAACTGACCTGCCCCCGTTGTGCCGCCTTTGTTCTTTGGTGAAGACCATCGGAGGTCGCAACGCATGTCCCCTGTTGAGGTTTCTTCGTCCACCATGTCACACATAGCCTAGAGCGGATAACGTCCTTAGCTTTCAGGGCGAAAAAGCTGCTAGCCAAATGGTAGCATGGAAAAAACCCCTGATGGCGCGCTCACGGATCCATATCGTAAATACCGCCTACAGCCTACAGCCTATAGCCGTCGGAACCACGCCGTCGCTGTATCACCGCAGCCGCAAGCGACGACCGCCGACGCCGTCTACTGGGTCCTGAATGCACCCGTAATCAACGGCATACGGTCTATGTGCGGTAGCCCGAAATTTGTAGACCCTGCCCTCGCAGACGTTAAATGGAACCAATTTTTTTTTGTAGACTGCCGACAAGCTCAAGACCTGTGCAAGCAGAGCGACAATGGCTGAGACGGTGATGAGTACTTCACTGTCTCAAGGGCCCGAGGTACGAGGGCCCTTAGACAAACGTCTATGGACAACTGTAGCCAGGCTGACCACACCCTTCATGCGATGTCGGACAGTCCTCTCCGAGGATCAGACTCGCGTTACATCCAGCCGAGAGGGATGCTAGAGGGACGAGGGGCAGCGGTTTCGGACCTGCGAAAGTCCTCGTCAGGGGGCTTAACCGCTGCCCCGACCGTCCGCTCCTCTGGTGCCGTTTAGGCACCTACCATCTAAGCCTTAAGCAGTGAGAGTACCGGCAGGGGACTGTCTCGCACCTGGCTCGCCGCTCAAGTCGACGACGTGCCCGTCACCTCCTCGCGCGCACGCTGCGACGCAGGGGCTTACTGCCTTGACTCACCGCCGGGATGGTGGTAACAAATGGGTTGGGTGGGTGGGAGATGGGGCATCACCTCGACTCTGCCACGTCCACGCACTGCCGCCGCACGCCATTTCTGCGCGTGCGACGGTTCTTCTCCGGCACCATGCGGTAGGCCGTCCATAGACACCGTTATGGTCGGCTTCGATGTAAGATGCCAACTATCCTATATATCTTGCGATGATAGTACACTATATTGCTACACGATTACGCACAACAGGAAAACATGAATATAGCACGGAGTCCAACGCACGAACGGACTGGATGAAGCGATACATGCGCACGTCGGCGCGAGGCGCAAGAGATTAATCGATGACGCCGAGGTGGTCCTCCTTGATAGTCCCGATAGCGAACTACAATGGCGGGTGGTCAATTCATCAGTGCGACACGAAGCAACGCAAGAGGTACTCGCAATTTCCGTAGCGTCAACACGCGTCCCGACGATTTTTAGCCGCACTTTCGTGTTTTTCTCGATGATCTGTGCGCCCGGGTGGGGTGACTATGAGGTGGACTACGGGCGAAAGAGAATAGTGCGACGCACCTGGTCTTCTGATGCAAACGACGGCGGATTCGAGTTGGGGTCGAACCGCATATCTGGATGAATGAGCTACGAGGGGCCGGGGTGAGCGTTGCGGACTAAAGAAAGACTAGTGGTGAACGTGGCCGGAGGCGTCACCCACCTGGTGCGAGACGAAGACCGTTAGAGGCCCGACTTCGGCGAAGAAGCCCATCTATTAACGAGTTACGGGACGTGTTTGAAGAGGTGACGATAAGAACACACCTTGTTGACGTTGTTCACCACCCCATCGACTACCTCGCCCTTGAAAGGCTTGAAGACGATCGCGCGGTAGCGCGTGATGAACTCTGCCTGACCACTCCCTGGCAAAACCATTCCCTTCCCAATGTCTAGAATGGAGACCACCGCAATGATGTAGCCGAACTGCCCAGAACATGTGCCCTCTACATCCGAGTAGAGCTTAGACTCCAGGAACTGTAGCATGCGAGGCCCGAAGTACGACGGATGTAAAAGAATGGTGTGCGAGAGCTCTTTCTGGAGTGTACTGTTCGTTAGCACCGGTAGCATCAGCGCGAGAGATAGCTCACAATGAAGAACATGGCGGGCAATCACATCGACCAGCGGAGGGCCGCTGGTAGAGGATTGAGGAGGTCGATGTTCGCCTGGCGAAGGCCCTGGGCGTTGGAAGTTCACTGGCAGTTGTAATTTAGTGAATCAGGTGGCATTATTACAAAATATAGTAGTAAGATTGATAATGATACATGCTCATTTGAATGGCTCGTGCATCTAGATCTGGTAAAAAAAGGTGGTGGGACAATGGCTGAGAACATGCATTGCAATACATGGCCGGCTAGCTCAGTTGGTTAGAGCGTGGTGCTAATAGGCGGCTTACGTAATACGTGAGTCACTGTTACGCCAAGGTCGTCGGTTCGATCCCGGCGTTGGCCAAGTGTTTTCGCTCTTTTTGCTCTGGCCGCCTCTTCGCCTCCTCCCGATCGCCCCCCTTCGCGCCTGCAACGCAAACGCGAAAATCCCACTGCTCTGTCATCTCGCACACGCTTTGATACGTCTAACATCGATGGTGCATGTAGCCATGCTTAGTCGCACTGTACATGTAGTATTCTGTTGCGCTCTCTCTTTCTAATACCACCCATCAGGAAAACCCCCCATCCCTAAGTTAGGGGTAATTGTGAAGGCATAATCAGTAATAATCAATGATGGGCATTATTCTCAGTAATACCTGTTACAGAGGTTATATTGTGTTATTGTTCATGATTAAGGGAGAATCACGCAGTACCAATTCATTATTACAAAAGGATAATACATATATCACATAGACAGATATGGATGGAGGGCAATGGTCAAGAGGCTCTCCAGGGGTTGATACATCTCAATGTAATCATATACTGCTTCAACAATCACTCAGGCTCTGGTAGAGTGGACATTTAGAGGTAGTGTACAATGGGTAACTTTTCATTACAAGCTGTACTCAGAACACATCGTTTTCTATATTTATACAAACTTGCACATCTTGCGGTGAGCTTGCGAGGCTAGGCACCACTAGACCTGAGTGTGTTGACAGTGGCGGGCAGGACATGTCCCATTGGTGAGACAAAGACAGTCGGCAATGCGAATGTGCACCACAACAGTGTGACACTCAAGAGGCAAGGCTACGCTGTGGCGGCAATATGCAGGCAAACATCAACCAGCTGCATATATAGAAGCCGTAGCGGCTCCGTGCAAGGAGGGAGACTTACCAAGCCCAGTGTTATGTGTTGCATTGGAAACTTGAAGCTGGACAGGCGCACCCAGAACAGACGAGTCCAAAGCTCGACGGAGCTCCCAGTACGCGCGCACACGGTCGGCCGGCAGTGCGGGTAGTTTCCGCTGCAGCGCAAGCCCATCGCCAAGTGAACGATCAGGCTGGCCGCTGTTGTCCGGGGTACCAAGGCTGCCCGCACGGCCCCCGGAAGAGGGGGTGTTTGGACGAGAGTAGGTGCAGGCAGTGGCGATGCGGCAGGCGTAGGTTCATTGTCGGGCATGGGCCGTTGTCACCTCCATCTGATGGACCCCGTGCACGTTTAGTGGCGGGGCGGTCAACATGATTACGCGCGGGAGTGGTCGGCTGGTGTTGCCATCGAGCACCAGAGCTGGTAGCCGCCTTGCTGCCGCCCGGGACTGCAGGTTGTACCACTGGCTGTCGTCATGCTGCGGGTGTAGGCAGCATAGTGCGGCGTGTTAGATTGTGCAGCCGTTGGTGCGATCGTAGGGCCAATCCGCGCGGCGTCACCGTGACGATCATCTGAGGCCTCACCGGCCTCACCACCGAGAGGGGGCTGTTCGGAATTGTCAGTAATTTGAGTGGTAGCGTTGGTGCGTGAGCTGCCTACTCTAGGAGGGCCGGTATTGTTGTCCGCGAGAGGTTTGGTCATGTGGCAAAGAGGGGAAGTAGTAAGTGAGAACAATGTGCGCCACGATGAGAGCGGTCGCGGATGGTGCGTGCAGTGGCAAGTCCAGCCAGCAATTTCCGGGGAGGACACTGACAGACGCTGACGTGGACGCGCACGCCCTAGCGCTAAGTCCCTCTCGCTCCACCAAGTCCACTCGCCCAGGCCTCCAGGGCCTCCACTACTCACGCGCACGACTCGCGAGACATCCACAACCGCCTTGCGACTCGCCCACGACCTCAAGCATAGCAACTCAGCGTACACGCCAGGCGGCGAGGACTCACGGCAAAGGCCCTGCATGCGCCACAACACACGCTCCTTTGGCATGTGATATTACCGGTAACCCGGTGTTCCGGCTTCCGTCTTACTAACGCTGACTCACGTAGCTTACGATGATGACTCATGATGACTCGACCACCATGTGATACGCTTACTGTACGATCACCTGATGGTCTCCCCTCATGTATATATACCGGGCTAGGATGCCCTCTAATGTATCGTTCCTTCCTGCTCTCTCCCGTGTGCCTAACGGGACTCTCCCTCTAGCAGCTTCCCTCTAGGTTCGTTCACTCCTTCATCGCCACTCCCTATCACTCCTTCAACACCTGCAACATAACAAGGAATGTGCCAATGCAACCCTTGTCCGAATGCCCCCAGTCCCAGTGCACCCCGATGTCTACTCTGTTGCACTGGGAGAGCTACAGAATGGTGTATCTTGGGCCAAGGTCCGCGAGAACAACCAGGACCGGGTTCGCCGACGAGCATACAAGAGCTTCCCCGATGATCTGACAAACTCGCCGTACTGCTGGGTTCTTCTCAAGAGCGATAGCCGTTCAATCTACCGGCAGCTGACTAAGCTGCAAGGTATCAGGGCGAGCTACCCTGCACAGATCAATATTGATGAATGGCTCGATCGAGACTCACCTGAATTCAACCAAACCCTCCATGACGCCATCTTCTACTACAAGCCACGAACCGAGAAGGGAGAAAGGCTATGCGTCTGCATCGCAACAGATGACATGCGCAGAGCAGCTTGGTGTTATGCGCACCACTCGCAGATAATCCTCGACGGGACGTTCGGTGTTAGCAACAGTCGCCTCCTTCTCTTCATTGCAATGGGAGTGGACGAGACTTGGCGAGGAGTTCCTATTGCTTTCTTCCTCTTTTCCGCTCCCACTGGCAATCAGCAAACATCTGCCGGATACGACACGAAGATACTCACCGATTTGCTCACGCAATGGCGGTCAACCATGTCTGGAAGTGCGACCTTGTTTGGGTATCCACAGCAAGAGTTCCAGCCTGCAGTTGCAATTACCGACACAGACTTGAAGGAGCGTGCAGCTCTGTTGGCAGTTTGGCCATCACTGTGGCTCCTGCTGTGCACGTTTCACCTGCGCCAGTGCTGGAAGAATCATCGTGATCGAACACTTACTGCAAGCGGAACAGAAATGCACCGAGATGTCACAGAGCGCCTCCGTCGGCTAGAGGAAGACTTGATCAAAACTACATCATTTATGGAAGCTCGCCAGCTCCTAGCAAACGAGCGTGAAGATATTGAGCGTATCAACCACCCCATCGCTGCGAATGGTATCAAGCACCTTGAATACCTCACGAACTACTGGACCACCGAGAACTTGTGGTCAAGTTGGTCCAATCACGGTCGTGCCATTGCGGCAGGCATACTGCATTGTGCCATCGAAGGAGTGCTGCCAACAACGAACCACTTGGAGGCATTCAATCGTGTCCTTAAACGTGATCACCTACGACGATATCAGCGCAACGGACGCCGCTTGCGCGTGGATGTGTTGCTCAAGGTCCTCGTCGGCAACGTGATCCCGGCGATCTTCAAGACTCGTCAGATGGAAGCCGAGCAGACTGCTCGTCTGCATGCAATGCTGCCAGATGTGCCCCATGGCAAAGGTAGCCGCGAGACCTTTCCGAAGACGACGTTAACAATTGCATATCTCGCTGAGGATGCAGATCGTGATGCACGTGCCCAGCTTCTGCTACTCCGCGGACAGATGGGCGCACCTGAACTCAAGCTGGATAATTCAGGCTTCATCATGTCCTGTTATTCCTCGGTCGCGCTAGAAACGGACAAGTCCCCTCGGAAACACCGCATCAGCCTGGATTTTGATGGGCGATCAACATGTACGTGCCTCGACTTCACCGAGGGTGGTGGTGCGTGCAAGCATATCCGTGCTGCACTACAGTATCTTGGTAAACTGCGACAAGAAAGTGCTGGGTTATTAGCTCAGCTCCCACATATTCGGATCCCCCACTCTTTCGAAGAAGCACTGTTACTACAGACTACTTCTTTGCCTTCCAATGCACTGACAGCATTCATTTCACCTCTTGCAAATGCTGCCGAGGCAATCGAGGATCTACTCGACAATGATGAAGAGTGTATGACAGAATCCGATGACAGTCCGGAACTGGATAGCGCTGAAGGGACGGAAGACGTTGAAGTGCTGCCCGGGGTCACGGATGGTACTGACCAGTGCGAAATACAAATCTACGATACAGATGACATCGTGAGTAACAAGTCACAACGGATACACCAATACTCACTAGAAAGCAGAATGTCCCAGTTCGGCCAGATGGACGCCTGGCACTGTCCGAGCAAATCATGGCGCGAACGATGCGGGAACTTGCACAGATGTCGCCTAAGCTTGCAGAGCTTGAGAAAATGTTGCAAGGACACAGTATTTCCTTGGAAGATCGTCAGCGGGCAGGCACCATGTTCAATGTAATGCGAAGCTTCATACACACGGTAGAAGGGATGCCGCTGCGGGAGGTAGTCGCATCCCGATCGGACGTGGCTGAAGGCACAAACACGCTACCGAGCGCAACTTCAACGCCAAGCTTCCCGGTATCCACATCACGGTCGGCCAATGCGATTGCACCAGCGACTCCAGAAACACGCAAGCGGTTGCTCAACGCCTCGCCGGAGAGAGAGCAGAAGAGGAAGAAATCGTGGGGCGTGGATTGACGAGCCTCGCGGCAATGCGGCGGCGGTGCTACTCGGGTCCGGTGATTATCAATCGCGAACGAGCGATGAGTATCTTATGTGTAATTAATAAGTGGTTCCTCCTACACACGTGTATGCAAGCTTATGGCTTAGAGCACTGTGTGAACATGATGCTGTCGGGCCTCCCACTTGGGCCACTGCCACTATACTATGGTGTGGTCACTAAACGCGAGTGTGCGCGCAAGTCGTACCGATTCGATCTGAGAGATCGCGGAGATCTCGCCGAGGCGCAACTTAACTCTATATGGTAATTTCACGTGACATCCGCAAAAGGAAGGCTGGAGTGGGCGCCTTAGACTCGTCCATGCGCTTGTTCTCAGATTACATCACGTGCCTCGAGCACGTACGGTGACTTTCCTTAACAAATATTGAACAAACATTCAATGTCTTTTATTTGTAGGGCTGGTTCGACGCTCCGACGTGTATGCTTCGCGGACCCTTGGTCATCCCCGTATGTTACAGAAAGCCAC